TCTGAAACTGAAGGGCAGGGCTGAGGTCCTGGAACACCTTTATGAAAAACAAACAAACAAACAACCAAAACCCAAAATCCCAACTTATAATGTACATGAATGGAGAAAAAAAAATTCCACACCAACACCACCAACAAAAAGGCAGCAATATTGGTTGAGAAACTGTATTCTGCTGATTTGTAATTTGTTAACTTCCCTAATAAATCTCATGATGTTGAGTATGGTTCTGTGAGGTCTGTTTATTCCTTGCAGCGAATTTTTGACCCAGGAGTAGAGCAGTTCATAGTGTTTCTGAAGAGTAGAGCAGCTGTTGGATTTGACCTGATAAACTTTCAGTTACAACAATAGATGTTATTGTTGTTATGTGCCGTCAAGTCGCTTGCAACTCATAGCAACACTATGTACAACAGCCCTAAACTCTGCTCTGTCCTGTGCCAACCGCACCATCTCTGATATATACCCATCGGGATTACCCCAATCACTGAATCAATCCACCACCTCCTAGAGGGCCTTCCCCTCCTGCGCTGTCCCTCCATCCTACCAAGCATGATGTCCCTCTCCAAGGACCGGTCCCTCCTTACAACATGTCCAAAGTATGTTAGACGGAGCCTCAGAATCCTTGCCTCCGAGGAGCAGCCTGGTTTAACCCTTTCCAGGATAAATCTGTTTTCCTAGCAGTCCATGGTCCTCAATACTCTTCTCCAGCACCAAAGCTCAAAGGCTAGTCATTGTCCAACTCTCTGACGCTTAACAAGTTATTGCAAAGACCATTGCCAGTATCAGGCACACCTTAGTCTCCAGAGAGACACCGTTGCTCTTCAGTACTTTGGAGAGGTTGCTAACAGCAGACTTTCCCATTGCAATATGTCTTTTCATTTCCTGGTTGCTGTTGCCAGGAGTGTTGACTGTGAAGCCAAGCAAACTAAAGCTGTGAACAATCTCAATCTCTTCACCATCCATCCTGATGCTACCAATTGGTCCAGTGGTGAGAATCTTTGTCTTTCAATGACATTGAGCCTCAATCCATATTGGAGACTGCAGTCCTTGATCCTCTGCAGCAAGCACTTCAGGTCCTCCTCAGTTTTAGCAAGCAGGGTTGTATCATCTGCATAATGCAGATTGTTGATAGATCTTCCACCAATCCTGACACCACATTTCTCTTCATAGAACCCAGCCTCCCAGATAATCTGTTCTGTATACAGGTTGAAAAGATATGGAGACAGGTCACTCCACTGGCGCACGCCCTTCCCAATTTTGAACCATGCAGTGTTCCCTTGCTCTGTTCTAACGACTGCCTCTTGGTCCAAGTATAGATTTCACATTAGCACGATCAACTGAGATTCCCATTCTTCACAGAATCAGCCACAGTTTGTTATGATCTACACAGTCAAACACCTTTGCATAGTCAATGAAACACAGATAGACATTCCTCTGGTACTCCCTGCTTTCAGCCAAGATCCATCTAACATTAGCTACAATGTCCTTAATACCATGACTCCTTCTAAACTCAGCCTGGACTTCTGGCAGTTCTCTGCTGATGTGCTGTTCCAGTCGTTTTTAGATAATCTTCAGTAGAATCTTGCTTACATGTGAAATCAATGATATTGTTCATTAGTTTTCACACTCTGTTGGGTCACCCTTCTTTGGGATGGGAACAAATATAGATCTCTTCTCTTCAGTTGGTGTTAAGAGTATATTATAAAAATATGGAATGAAGCTTGTAGAGCTAAGGTTTAACATGTTAGAAAAACCTGATTCTCAGAACAGCAACACAGAAGTATCAGTAGATGTCAACATCTTGCTGTCCAACACTTCTCTCTGCTGACCCCTTACTAGATGTTGTGACAAACTGTACACTGTATTGAGTGTTCTGCTTGTTTGAATACTGGTTATGAATAATCAATGGTGGTTGTTGTTGTTGTTAAGTGCCATCTAGTCATAGGCGACTCATAGTAACCCTACGAATGAAATTCCTCAACACTTGTGTGACTTTCACCCTTTCTCCAGGTTCATAGGTTTTCTGAAAGCAAGTTATTATGGAAGTGGATGCCACTCCTGCTTCTAAGCTTTAATCGGGGAGCTCCACCTAGCACTGTCCGCTTTGACACATCAGTGTCACAGTGTTCAGCTTCACAGCAACCACAAGTTACCGCTGTATGGCAAGTGGACACAGCAGGGCTATATGACCTAGATGAATGTTTGAACAAAAACAATGGAAACACAGGCCTGAGGGCCATGGATTAAGTAACCCACCTCACCTTTGGCTTGGCAGCATCACTTTCTGTCCACTAGGCCAGCTGATCACGCTCTGTGTTAATGTTATTGTTGTTAAGTGCCGTTGAGTCGTAGGAGACTCACAGTGACACCATGAACGAAAGTCCTCAACACTTGTGTGACTTTCATCCTTTCTCCAAGTTTATAGGGTTTCCGAAGGCAAGCTATTATGGAAGTGGATGCCATTCCTGCCTCCAATCAATGGTTATGTAAAATTATTTGGATTGTTAAGGTTTTAATTGCCTTTAATGCTTTATTTTGGATTAATTTATATGAGCTTATAAATGGGCTTTACACTTTGTGGCCCCCAATAAAGTGTGTGAATTGCAATTATATTTTTTCCAGTGTTTTGTTTGTGCCAGCTGTCCACACAATATAAACCTATGTCACCAAAACTGTCTACAGCCATCATGTTGGTTCTGACCCACAGTGATCCTCCTTTGGGTTTCTGAAGCCGTAAATCTTTATCGGAAATTGCCCATCTTTCTCCTGCAGAGTGGCTATTGGATTCAAACTTCCAACCTTTTGACTAGCATACCAACACCATGGCTCCTTAAATCATAACACATCACACAAATATTACATTTTAATGCTGTTATTTGTTGCCAGAAACAAGATCTCAGACTTTAGGTCTTCGGTTTCATTGGTATATTAAAATAATTTAGGATATCCAAAGAGGTTTAAATCTGCCCAGAGGCACCTAGGAAGAATGATTTGGAGAGCTCCTTCTGAGAAACCAGTCATTAGAAACATTGTGATCCCTCTTCTACTTTGATACACATGGAATCACTAAATAGGGGACTTCAAAAAACAGCAACTGAGGCTGGAACTGATTTAGGCGGAAATTAAAACCCAGACTAAATCAAATCCTTTACCCTCAAGTCAATTCTGACTAATAGTGACCCTTTTGGACAGAACTGCTCCATAGGATTCCAAGGGGCTATAATTTTTATTGTCATATATTCTCCTGACGAAAACCTCATGGGTTTAAACCAAAGATTTTTCCGTTATCAACCATTGATTTTTCAATTGACAGTTGAGTGCTCAACTGATGCACTACCAAGATGACTCCTTGCCTGTTTAAATAGATTTCTCTTTTGAAAAACTTTAGAATATCTCCTGCACTGAAAAAATACTCAGGGCAAATGAAAAACTAAAAATCATATAGATGTTTGATTAATGTTGTGTGTTTCTTCTGTCCCAACTCACTGCTCTAGAGTCAGAACTTTGTAGGATGTAAATAGGCAACTCTTGTGGCCTAGTGTTAAGAAGTTGTAGTGTAATCCTCAAGGCACTCGGTTCAAATCCACCATCTGCTCTGCAGGAGAGGGATGGGCAATCTCCTCCCGTGAGTTTACTGCCTCCAAAAACCCGCCCAGGGTTTTGATGGGACACATTTGTTGTTAAGTGCCGTCGAGTCACTTGTGGCTCATAATGACCCTTATGTACAACGGCTCTGAATCCTGCTTCTATCCTGTGCCAATGTCATCATCTCCACACACCTACCACCATTACCGCAGTCACTGAGTCTTCTCATCCATGGTCTTTCTCTCTTACACTGCTGTCTCTCCACCCTCCCAAGAATGATGTCCCTCTCCAAAGACTAGTCCCTCTTTGCAGCATGCCCAAAGTATGTCAGACGGAGCTTCAAAATTCCTTGTCTCCAAGGAGTAGCCTGGTTTCACCTTCTAGGGAACAAACCTGTTTGTTTTCCTATTAGTCTACGGTATATTCAATACTATTCTCCAGCACTACAACTCAAAGGCATCATCCCTAATCATTATCTAGCTTTCTGATGCATAGCCAGTAATTGCGAAGACCGTGGTCTGGATCAGGCACACTTGAGTCTCTGGACTGACCTTGCTGCTCTTCAGTACTTTGGAGAGGTCCCTGAGAGCAGTTTACCCCAATGCAATTCGTCTTTTGATTTCCTGGCTGCTGCTACCAAGAATGTTGATTGTTGAGCCAAGCAAATTGAATCTGTTAACAACCTCAATCTCTTCACCGTTTGTCATTTATACTGCCAATCGGCCCAGTGGTCACAATAACAGGATGTAAATAGCGCAAGAAATTGCCCTTCTTTCTTTCACAGAGTAGCTGGTGGACTAGACTTTCCAGAGAGGAGTGGCTTTTGGGTTAGCAGTTTAACCTCTTTGCAAGCTAAATCACCAGAGTGGGATCCCTGTTCCCTATGCAGGAAATACAGAGAAAGGAGACTGGAAGAAACCTACCACCATGCTTCGCTCATGTTAAGTATTCATTTTCTAAATTGTATTTTATAGTACTTATTTCTTATAATGTGTAAATTGCAAATCGTTAAGGGCTGCGCTACTAATAGAGATTAGTAGTTTAACCCTTCCAGAGGCGCCTCGGATTTTAGGCCTGTTTCTGAAAGGTCACTACCTTGGAAACCCTAAGGAGCACACCTGAACACCTGGGCTGCAACCAAGAAGTCTACTTGGACTGGAATCTACTCGGTGACATCTGACATTTACTAAGAAAATAAATCACAACTAATCCTTCAAATCTTGCCAAAAAATTAAAAAAACAAAACTCAGGAGAGTAACTTGCTGCAAGTTGTGTGGAGAACAGCTAGCAGGAGTGACTGCGAAAATACAAAAAAAAAGAAAGCCAGTTGGTACAGATTATAGATTGGGAGAAGTGAGAGAGATAGGCCTCCAAATTGCCTAGAGAGGCTACCAGGATTTAAAAAAAAAAGAACTTCCGGGGCGGGGCTTCTGAAGCCTTCCCTTCCGTGGCAGAGCATGTGGGCGGGTTGCAACGTGAAGATTCGTGATTGTCTGGCTGTCACTTATGTCTTTCTGAGACGGTCCCTGAGTTTGGGAGTAACCATGGCAAAGAGCAAGTTCGAATACGTGCGAGATTTCGAGGCCGACGACACGTGCCTGCCTCACTGCTGGGTGGTAGTGCGGTTGGATGGCAGGAATTTCCACCGGTGAGCAAGCTTGATGGGTGCCGCATGGGGCACCAACCCTTCTGGGAACTCCGCCACTTGCTGTAGGAATTTTGGGTTCTCTGTTACTGCGGTAACAGGGCAGCCAATGGTTGCGCGGGATTGAGCTTCCCTCTGTGTGCGGGCCCAGACAGTACTTGGGGGAGGTCTGACTAAGGTGTTTAAGTGAAGTGGGGTGTGTCCCCGCTGTCAAATTGGCCTGGAGCACCCATGCTAAATGGACAGAGAACTGAAGGACAAAGTCAGTCGCAAGGCACATCCAACTCTTAAGCTTTGTTCAGCTCTTCCGTCAGGTATCTTTGAATGCTGACTGTGGACTGCACTTTTGAAGATGTGATGTGCTTAGACTGTTACCAGTAAAAAGTCATAGGAACTGGATTCGGGAAGGAGAGCGGGAGGCGGGGAAAGGAAATATATAGCAGAAAGATGGGAATTTAGTTTTTATAAAAGTACCTGATCCAGGCCATGATTTCCGCAATTATGTGCTATGCATCAAAAAGCTGGACAATGACTAGGGATGATGGAAGGAGAATTGATGCCTTTGAGCTATGTTGCTGGGGAAGAGTATTGAATATACCATGGACTACTAGGAGAAGAAACAGGTTCGTCTTAGGGTGAAAACAGGCTGCTCCTTGGAGGCAATGATTTTTAATGTCTCTGTCAGACATACTTTGGACATGTTGCAAGGAGGGACCAGTCCTTGGAGAGGGATATTATGCTTGGGAGAGTGGAGGGACGGTGCAGGAGAGGAAGACCCACATTAAGATGGATTGATTCAGTGACTGAGTTACTGGGGGTAGGTGTGTCAGAGACAGTACGGTTGGCTTAGGATAGAGCAGGGTTCAGAGCTGTTGTACATAGAGTCCTTATGAGTCACAGGCAACTTTACAAACTGGTTATTGTAACTACCATACTTACATACCACACTTATTAGAATCCAGGAACAATTACACCAATTGTTATTATTCCCTAATCTTCAGGATAACCCAGTAAAGTAAAGTAAAAACCCTTTATCCCTGTTTCGTAGAAAAGGGAATTAATTAGATTTAGCAGTCATATCCCCCGTGCCACACACTCTCTTATTCCTAGGCAAGGAAAAAAAAATGAAAATTCATAAGGAAGTTAATTAATTGCATTTTCAGCACTGTTACATTATCTTACAGCTTTAGATCTTTGGTGTTAATGAAAAGATCTGGTCTATCCATACCATTTCCCTCCTTTCTGTCTCCTGTAAAGGTTTGCTGAGAAGCACAACTTTGAGAAACCTAATGACAGTCGTGCTCTCCACCTAATGACCAAATGTGCCCAGACCGTAATGGAAGAATTGGAGGATATTGTAATTGCTTATGGACAGAGTGATGAATACAGCTTTGTGTTCAACCGGAAGAGTAATTGGTTTAAAAGAAGAGCCAGGTAATTCTCTTCATGGCCTAGGATACTTTGCCAGTATATTTTCTACCAGCATCTAGACTTCTGCTCATTGTAATTGTAACAACCACTATGAGCTGTGGACTTGATGGCTTAACTGCAGACTTACAGACTTTGGAAGTTATCTGTAGTATTTGGAACTGCTAGGGAAAAAAATATATGTAAATATACACACACACATTTATTTTTATTTCTTGTTTGGATTATTCTGTCTGAGCATTCAATATGCCTCTTTATCTTCTTTTTCTCTTTGCTTCCCACCAAATTCTGGTCTGATATAGAATGTTAAGACTAGAAACAGACCACAAGAATGTAATACTAATAATTTATAGATTGACTTTAGCCCATGACAAATTCTACATATATTGCAATGTTTAAACTTTTTTTTCCATATACATTCTATCTCACATTATTTTTTCATTTTATACTGATTTACATACAGAGTTCATAAAGTTCTTATACATTGTTTAAACTTTTTTTTTTGGTAGTTTTTTATCTTTGTGTGTGTGTGTGTGTGTGTGTGTGTGTGTGTGTGTGTACCGTCAAATTGGATCTGACTGGTACAGGAGGAGATTACCCCTCCTCCAGCAGAGCGTCTGGTGGATTCGAACCATGTTCCTCTGGGATTGCAGTGCAGCTTCTTGCCACTAGGCCACCAGAATTCCTTTAGTAGATTTTTTAAGAACAGTTTTAAGTTTACAGAAAAATTGTATGTACAAAGATCTCATGTTCTCTCTCTTACATATGTCTAATATATGTCTAATGTTAACATCTTGCATTTGTATCAAGTTTGTTACATGAGCAAGTATTGATGCATTATTAACATTTGTGTTTACACTTTCCAGTGAAAAGCCCTCTTATCATCCTATGTCCACTATTCCTATGTCACTCTCTAAAAATACTTTATCCTCCACCTACTCATCTCTCTCACTTACCCTCTTGCCCACCTTACTTCCTTGTAAGCATTGATCTTTTCACTAGCTTTGTAGTTTTTACTTTTTCCTTAGTCTTAATATAGTTGAAATTATATCCTATATAGTTATGTTCACTTAGAGATACTTACTAAAGATTCCTTTGTGGGGTTTTTTGTAATTTGGTGGCTCATTTCTTTTTATTTGTGAATAAAATACCATGTATAGGTATAACAGGAAGCAGTTGTCAGAACAGAGCAAGTAATCATGGCATGGTTCAAAAGCAGGAAAGGAATACATCAGGGATGCTCCTTTCTCCATAACTTTTCAGTCTATGTGTGGAACAAATCATTACGGAGTCTGGACTTTATGAAGAGGAATATGGCATCAGGATTGGAGGAAGACTCATCAGCAACCTGCAGTATGCAGATGATACAACCATACTTGCCAAAACTGAGGAGGACCTGAGGCATTTGCTGCAGAAGGTCAAGGACTGTAATCTTAACATGGATTGAACATCGAGAAAAGAAAGGTTTCTCATGACTGGGCCACTTGGTAGCATTACAATAGATGGAGAAGAGATTGAGATTGTTACCAGTTTCAGCGTGATTGGTTCCACAATCAATACTCATGGCACCAGCAGTCAGAAAATCAAAACACATTGGGAAAAATCTTCTCTCCAGGGTAAAAGCCCAACAGTGTCAGTCAGTCTAGAGACTAAGGTGCACCTGATCCAAGCCAAGATCTTTTTGATTACTTGCTATGCATCAGAGACCTGGACAATGACTAAGGATAATAGAAGAAGAATTGGTATCATTGAGTTGTGATGCCGGAGAAGAGTATTGAACATTCTGTGGACTGCCACGAGAATAAACAAGTCTGTCATGGAGAAGGTGAATCCAAGCTGCTCCTTGGAGGCAAGGATTTTGAGGCTCCATCTCACATACTTTGGGCATGTTGCCAGGAGGGACCAATTCTTGGAGAAGGACATTATGCTTGATGGAGGGACAGAGTAGGAGAGGAAGACCCTGGATGAGATGGATTAGTAATTCGTGTAAATGGGGTATGTGTGTCAGAGACAGTGAAATTGGCTCAAGATAGGTTAATGTTCAGATACAAGGGCTCACAGGCTACTTGACAGCTTTATAACAACAACAGGAGCTCTAGAGGTACAGTGATTAAGCTGTTGGTGGCTAAAGTCAGCATTTTGAACCTATTAGCTACTCCATGGGAGCAAGATGTGACAGACTTCTTATAGATTATAACGTAGGAGCTCTTAGAGAGAAGTTCGTTCTGTCTGATAGAATCACTGTGAGTCAGAATGGACTCTGGCAGTGGGGTTTGGGGTTTTTAGTAGTTGAACCACAACCTGTTCATCCATTCATCTATTGAAGGACATCTTGGTTTTACTTTTAAACTTAGTCTCAAAAGTAAACTGAAGTTTTTTTAAAGTTTTACTTTTAAACTTCTAAACATAATTCTCAAAAGAATCTCTTGAACCATAAATTCATATACTACAGAGAAAAACAAATCATTAATAAATTACTTGTAGAATTGAGAGTAGAGGCATGCTGTATTTAAAAGATATTGTTAAAAAAATTCTAAAAAAGATATTGTTAAAATATTAAAGTGTTTTGTCTTGGCTAAATGCATTTTATCTCTTGGTGTACTGAGTACTGTAATCTCTCTGTTGCACTCGTAGGCCATATCTTGATATTGTTGAATTAATACCATGTATTTTCTCTTTTCTTGCTCCACCCAATGTGCTTTATATTTGCAAGCAAGTTCATGACTCATGTGGCCTCCCAGTTCGCCTCCAGCTATGTGTTTTATTGGCGAGATTACTTTGAGGACCAGCCTCTTCTGTATCCCCCAGGCTTTGATGGAAGAGTCGTGGTTTATCCTACCAACGAGACCTTAAAGGACTACCTCAGCTGGCGGCAAGCAGATTGTGAGTAACATCAAATAAATAATTGGAGTTAAACTCCCAATTCCATACACTGGAGGTGGTGATCTGTTTTGGGTTTGGCTCAGTTGTATTTTATTTGGAGTGAAGTATTATTTATTTTAAGTATTTGAGAAATTGAGGAAGTTTTAATTATTTTTTAAGAAGCAACCTATTTTTAATTTTTTTCTTTTTTTTTTTTTTAAATCAGAAGCTATTTCGCAACACTGGGTTAGTTTTCCCACCTTCTGTGGTATGAACTCTGCCATGGCTGTCTGCCTCTCTCTTTTTCTTTCACCCTCAGTCACACTCACTCCATTGATTCTGAATCTCTCTGTCACTCAGTTACTTCCCTGAGGCCACCCACTCTGGTTTACACACTTCTGTTCTTGCTAGATATTTGTGTTGTGATCCCTGCCTTATAAGAAATGTTCCTAAGCCTATATTTATACTTGATAGATGTGTTTTGATTTTACCAGAATAACTGGGAAAGAAATAGGAATTATGTAAATCAAACAGCTTTGATGATATTTCTAAACTTAACATACAAGTTAATGGATTTTTTTTAAAGAATACCTCATATGATAGAGCAGTTTATAGGAAACAGATTGGTTTGGTTTCTTCCTAATATTTTTTTCTTTTTGACACCTCCTTCCATTTTCCTTTTCTATGAAGTTTGACAAGTCTGTAGCTGTCTCTGAGATGCCTTCCTTAAAAAAGAGAGGGGCAGGGCTCTCATATTTGAACTGTAAGTATTGAAGAAAGATTCTGAGTATATGAACAGTACTGTTTTGTTTTCCCTGCAGGTCACATCAATAACCTTTATAATACAGTTTTCTGGGCGCTTATTCAACAGTCTGGACTAACACCAGTACAGGCCCAACAGAGATTACAGGTATAAAGATATTATTGCCTCACTGCTTAGCTGAAGACCATTTTCTGTAGCCTCTCCCATACCATTTAGCATTCTCCCCTGACAGATTTACTTTGAAAGTGTATAAAAGTCATACTTGTAGTAGCTCTCTTACTTGCCTTTTCTGCTACCCTGGATGATTTACTTCTTTCTGAGTCTGTTTCCTCAACTGGAAGATGGAATTAGGGCTGTGGTTCTCTGCAGTCCCACTGAGAACACTACCTGGAGATGCATATTAGTTGCCCTCAGTAGACAGAGAATATGTTCTTTAAATGTCAGTCCCCATGAGGTGTTTTCACTCCTTGCATTTACCAGCTGGACTCTTAACAGTTTTTTTGGATTTAAAGCCTCTAGATCATGAAGCTTTGTTTCTCATACATTGGATATGTAGCTAGGTGAGGCTCTTCTTGGAAGGGACATCATGCTTGGAAAGATGGAGGATCAGCGGAGGAGAGGAAGATCCCCAATGTGATGGATTAACATGGTGACTTTTCAGCAGTGAGCTGTAGTGTATAAGAGACAATGAGGATGACACAGGAAAGGGCAGGGTTCAAGTCAACTGTTCATAGGGTTGCTATGGGTAGTACTCGACTCATTGGCACGTAACAGTAACAATATATGATTTAAGAAGCCCTAGTGGCATAGTGTGCAATGTGTTGGGCTGCTAACTGAAATCATGGTGGATCTAGTCCACCAATCACTCCTCAGGAGAAAGATGAGTAAGTAGTCCCCACCCTTAAAGATTTACAGCTTCAGCAATCCAGTGGATAACCATCACTATGAGTCTGGTCAACTTGACAGCAGGGCAGGTATGGTGTAAGACTTCACACTCTGGAGTCAAATTATATTCAGATGGTGCTTGTGATTTTACCCTCTTTTTTGGAGGTAAAATGTTAGACATAATATTCCTACCTAAATATTTTATGATAAGAATTAAATAGCATGATGCACATAAAATATGCAAAGAACATTTTTAGCCCTCAATATAACCTGGCTTTTATTATTTGATAGCTGTTGCTCATAGGAAGACTATCATTCTGATATGAGAACATGTCTTAAAACAACTCCTGATGCAATGTCTGTCTTGTTAGAACTACTCGATAAATGGCTTTCTTTATGAACTGTGCTGCTGCTGAAGTTCTGTATATAGCAGGAGGAGAAATAGGGAAATACGGAAAGTTCTGAGTGGGTGTTGGAAGGATTAAGCTCAGATTTTTGATTCTTACTAGAAGAATATTAACAAAGTTGGACAATTGGTATAATTTTTCTAAACTTACATTATCTCTAAAATGGAGATAGTCAGAAGGATCAAATAAGGAAATATATGTGAAATAGTACATAATAGGTGCTCAGTTCATTATTAAGTCATCTCCCTCCAGTGGCTCCAAGTAGGAAGATGAGCAATTTCCTACCATTGAGATTTACAGCCTCAGAAACCCAGTGGACAGTCAGCCTTGAATTGATTCCAGGATGATGGCCGTGAGAGAGAGAAACTCACAGTCTTAACTTGTGAAGTGAAATGTTTGCTTTCAAAGAGAATTGTATTACACATCTGGATAAAATTTACATTACTATTAAAAATGTAGTATTCTTCATAACATGTTTCATAAAATTTGTTCTTTTTGATTGTGAAAACTTTAGATAAATGGTAGAATGCATAGATAGGCTTAGGTGGGAGAGTGAATATACAAAGCTTTTACACTTGTTTTATTTCCTCAGGGAACTGTTGCAGCAGACAAGAATGAGATTTTGTTTTCTGAATTCAACGTCAACTACAATAATGAGCCTGTGATGTATCGGAAAGGAACTGTGTTGATATGGCAGAAGGTAATTTTCTTAATTATCTAGTATTACTGTAACATACAGCATACATGGATGGCTTTCCCAAACAGAAATTTATTCTCTTATAGTTTAGGAGAAAACAACATGCTACCGTAAACTCTATGAACTTTGATAAATGTCGATAGTTGTAGAGGTGCCTTTTGTTCATAGGGTTGCTATGAGTCGTGCTCAACTCTAAGGCAATCAGCAACAACAACATAGTTTAGGAGACTAGAAGTCCAAATTCAAGGATCTAGCTCTAAGAGAACACACACACACACGTCCCCTGTCAGTTCTAGAAGAAGGTCTTTATTTAGCATCTGTAGGCCTACACTCCTTGGAGATTTCAGTGTGTCTTGGCCTTCAATGATCCTCCTTGTGTGGCAATCCGAGTCCAAAAGAATACAGCCCATTCATGCCAATTCTTGCTTGTACTGATGTCTCCCATATTCACTATGTTTCCTCCTGTAAGAACAACCAGGGCCATGTGGTGGTAGTGGTATATGCCGTCAAATCGCTTGCAACTCATAGTGACCCTATGTACAGCAGCCCTAAACTCTGCTCTGTCCTGTGCCAATCGCACTGTCCTGACACTCCCATCCCGATTATCCCAGTCACTGAATCAATCCATCTCATAGAGAGCCTTCCCCTCCTGCGCTGTCCCTCCACCCTCCCAATCATTCTCCAAGGACCGGTCTCTCCTCACAACATGTCCAAAGTATGTTAGACGGAGCCTCAGAATCCTTGCCTCCAAGGAGCCACCCGGTTTAACCCTTTCCAGGACTAATCTGTTTGTTTTCCTAGCAGTCCATGGTATTCTCAATACTCTTCTCCAGCACCACAGCTCAAAGGCATCAATTCTCCTATCCTCCTTGGTCATTGCCCAACACTCGGATGCATAACAAGTGATTGTGAAGACCTGTATCAAACACACCTTAGTCTCCAGAGAGACACCATTGCTCCTCAGTACTTTGGAGAGGTCCCTAACAGCAGACTTTCCCATGGCAATGCGCCTTTTAATTTCCTGGCTACTGGTGCCAAGAGTGTTGACTGTGGAGCCAAGCAAACTAAAGCTGTGTACAATCTCAATCTTTTCACCATCCATCCTGATGCTGCCAATTGGTCCAGTGGTGAGAATCTTTGTCTTCTTGACATTGAGCCTCAATCCATATTGGAGGCTGTAGTCCTTGACCCTCTGCAGCAGGTGCTTCAGGTCCTCTTCAGTTTCAGCAAGTAGGGTTATGTCATCTGCATAATGCAGATTGTTGATAAATCGTCCACCAATCTTGACCCCACATTTCTCCTCATAGAGCCCAGCCTCCCGGATAATCTGTTCTGCATATAGGTTGAAAAGGTATGGAGATAGGATGCATCCCTGGCGTACGCCCTTCGTAATTTTGAACCATGCAGTGTTCCCTTGCTCTGTTCTGACGACTGCCTCCTGGTCCAAGTATAGGTTTCGCATTAGCACAATCAAGTGTTCTGGGATTCCCATTCTTCTCAGAGTCAGCTACAGTTTGTTATGATTCACACAGTCAAATGCCTTTACATAATCAATGAAACACAGATAGACATTCTTCTGGTATTCTCTGCTTTCAGCTAAGATCCATCTAACATCAGCTACAATATCCCTAGTACCACAACTCCTTCTGAACCCAGCCTGGACTTCTTGTAGTTCTCTGCTGATGTGCTGTTCCAGTCGTTTTTGGGTAATCTTCAGTAGAATCTTACTTGCATGTGAAATCAGTGATATTGTTCTATAGTTTCCACACTCTGTTGGGTCACCTTTCTTTGGGATGGGAACAAATATAGCTCTCTTCCAGTCAGTTGGCCAAGTGGTTGTTCTCCAGATTTCTTGCCACAACTTGGTAAGCACGTCCAGGGCAGCATCTGTTAGCTGAAATATGTCAATTGGTATACCATCTATTCCTGGAGCCTTATTTTTTGCCATTTCCTTCAAAGAAGCCTTAACTTCTTAAGTATTTTGCAGGTGGGAAGGGAGAAAATTGCGGCAATGAATGAATGGAAATCCAAAACCTCTGTAACAAAAAAAAAATTAAAAATAAAAAAAAAAGGGTGACCCTGGAGGACATTATGCAGAGTGAAGTATCTCAGTCACAAAGGACAAATACTGCATAGTACCACTGTTGTAAAGCAGGACCGACCTCATGGTTGGGAGGAGACTGAGAAGGATGGGTTCAATAATTTATACTGCATTGAAACAGATGAGGGAGAAAACTGTTTAAGAGGGAAATTATTAGGGATTTTTGTCATGACAGCAGTCCAGAGCAAAGGCTGTATAGTGGAGTGGAACTTGGGGGAGGGATTGTAAAACAATGAAAGAATTTTTTTTTTACTTTTCCAAGAGGGTAGTGTACTAGAAGGGAAGGTTGGAAGGGGGGAAAGTGCAACAACAAATGAATAGAAATTTAAAAAAAAATGTATTTGCTATCAATAAGTCATTGATTGTGCAAAATTCAATCATTCTCTCTCCAGCTCCATTTCTGTCACCAAGTCCATGTTTTCCAACTACTGGATCTTCTTCTCTGTTCCCAACTTTTGCATTCCAGTCACCCATTATTATCAATGCATCATGATTGCATGTTCGATCGATCTCCGATTGTAAAAGTTGGTAAAAATCTTCTATATCCTCTTCCTTAGCTCTGGTTGTTGGTGCATATATCTGAATGATAGTGGTATTCACTGGACTTCCTTGTATACGTATGGATATCATCCTGTCACTGACAATATTGTACTTCAAGATGGATCTAGCGATGACTTTTTTAACTATGAAAGCAACTCCATTTTTCCTCCCCTTTTCATCTCCAGAGTAATATATGATCATCCTACTCAAAATGCCCCATCCCAGTCCATCTCATCTCACCAATGCCTAGTATGTCAATGTTTATGCGTTCTATTTCTTCCTTAACAATATTTAATTTTCCTACATTCATGGTTCTCACATTCCATGTCCCAGTCACTAGTGTCTGCTTACAACTGTTCCTCTTCCTTTGTATTTCTGTACTTGAAAGCTCAACCTCAGTTGCCCTTTCTGTTATCTACATGTGTTCTGTTGTACATAGGGTTTTCAGAGGCCTACTATTTCAGAAGTGGATGGCCAATCCTTCTTCCTAGTCTTTCTTAATGTGAATGTTCGGATTTAGAGAAGTATTAGACAGACCAGCAAGTTAAAGGTATATCCCTTATTGTGGAGTTAACCATTAGTGTCAGTGTTGTCCCTGCCTTTGGCACACGTGTCTTTACCCACTTATTTCCCTGCTCCACCATCCACCAGGATACCCCTCAACTTCTACCCACTCCCTTCACATCTATCTTCCCATTGACCAGCCCTTGATCTAATAGCTTGTATATGAAGCTTCCTTGGCTTCTGTGATTCCAAACACATCAGCTGCTCATAGTTCCTTATGTTGGGACCAATGTCTCTGAAGTTTAGTCATAATGTTTCCTGAGCAAAGGCGATGCATCCTGTAGAACTGGTGTGTAGGCCCTTGGGCCGGAATGAATGCCGCACGGTTTTGGCGTCTTCAGTGGTACCTGGGAAGGCCATATCTGACTTTACCAGCTCCACAAAGGGGAACTATCCCTGTCAACATCATCACCACCACAAATCTAATTCCCATGAGGTCAGACATGTTACCCATGTTCCTACAGCTCTTTCTACTCTTCCCAGCGCCAATCTTAATGGTTCTTTTGGGTCTGAAATCCATTGTAATAGTTCACAAATGACAGAGAACCAAATTAGGGAAGTATAATTCAGGTTGGTAGCAGATACACTCAGTCAGGACAGCTTCTAAAATGTCCTCACAGGCACCTCAGCCTTTAGCTTCGCAGCTTTAGGCTCTTAGTGCTGCCAGTTATGGCTCCCCATCATCAGTCCTCAAATAAACTTGGGAAAAGGCTCTTGGCTCTGGTTCCTTGCGGGTAGCAGTCCCAAGCTCAGCTCGCTCTCATGTCAGGTCTCTGGTTCTCTCCTGCAGCTGTTTCTGCTTTCTTGCAGGTCTGACTATTGCATGATGAATCTCTGGCCCAAAGACTTTGCTGGTTGTGAGAGTCTCCCATTCTGCGGTAGAACTCACTCAACTTAAAGGCAAGACTAACCAATTCCCTTGTCAATTAGGGAGACTAGTCAGTCCCCTTGTGGATAGGCTAACACACCCTCTTTGCATATTCCTGCGCATCTACATGGCAAAGTTAGTAGTGGCCTGAGAAGTCATTGACTTTCACCACACCTACCCAGTCAGATGCCAGGTGTTACAGGCCACCCTCTAGGGAAACTCACTTTACAGCACATCAAAGCTATGTGGCATCCAACCCTTAATCCTCTTGCAACTATATGGCTTCTTAGATCATGGAGAAATTGTTATATCACTTCTGCATTATATCATTACCCTACATGTATTTTGAGGGGTACGCAAGTCAATCCAGGACTATAGTGCTGTGATGTTAAAAGAAAAATGGAGGTCAGCAAAGAGAGCTTGGGCCATTTTAGGCTTGGTCTTGCCTGCTACCTCAATGCTAATGTGACTGCAGTCACTGACGTGAACTAGATTCTTCCCAGAGAGATAGTATAGAGTTTTTTGCCTTCTGGACACTCACTGTAAGTTACTGTGAATTAGGGGTCTGCAATGACCTTTTCCATCAGTAGAATCACAGAATTTTAGAATGTGTGCTCATGTTCTAACTGTTGTGTTCTCTGTCTTCTAACACTCCCACAGCGGGCATAATTCCTTTTAAAGGATCTACTGCAGATAGGAGGACTTTGGCATTCACAGAACATTTAAAACGCACTTTCTTCCACACTGGACAAAGCTATTAAATGATTTGTCAATCCATGAATCTATCTCAGAGAATACCGAGAAATACTAGAATTTTGTCACTTTCATGAGCTTCCCCAGATGTTCATACTTACAAGTCTTTATCTGAATCCTGAAATCTACCAGTATTCCTTCTCTCTACCAGCTCTTGGGTATTTTGAATTTTTCAAGTTTATTTTATTCCATGTAGAATAATTTTTAAAGTATCTTTACATAATGTAACTTGTAGGTTATTTCCCTGACTACTTTTCCACTCTTTTATTAGTATTTTCAGAATACAGCTGATATCTGATACAGATTAAAATATGTCAGAGATGAGAGAAGAGAAATATCTCTATTTTGTAGTTATTACCACACGTGGAATCCCTCTTTTGTTCCTGAACTCTCCTGTCAGAATATAGCAACATAACCTTGTGAAAGTATTTGAAGTTGTAAAAGAATCCGTGCCTGTTGAGATGTGTGTGACAACATGCACGAATGTACACATATCAAATATATAAATGTGAAAAGTGAACCTTTCCCACACAACTCCCCTTCTTTCCCAAACTCACGCTCTAGTTGACAGTGTCAATACTTCAACTTTTGTGTGTAGGTGGATGAAGTCACGACAAAAGAAGTTAAACTCCCAGCAGAAATGGAAGGAAAAAAGATGGCAGTGACACGGACCAGGACCAAGCCAGTGCCATTTCACTGCAATATCATCGGGGATGCTTTCTGGAAGGAACATCCAGAGATCCTAACTGAAGGCAGTTGACCCTGTGCTTTGCAAGACTGGTGTGCCTCACCCTGCAAGGTGCCTGAAGTGGCCCTAGCACGCCTACTATCCAAGAGAGTGCTGAGAAGGATAGGTGTTGCTTTGAAAGGGGTACAGGGAATAAAGGGATGGATGGGGATACTATATCTTGTTCTGCTCCAAGCAGAACACCTTTTGAACACTGTTGGAACATAGTTCTTTCGCTAGAAGTGCATTTAAAAAAAATCATGATACTATTTTTATAAAGCACGAACTATTTTATGCCTTGCAAAATGAATCATTTTTAGGCTGTGGCATGTCTTAAAAACCTGTCAGCTCTTTTTATCTGTGATAGAACTTAAGCCCAAACTTTACTCTCCCACCTGATCTTAGAGGATTGAATAATCTTGAAATATTCACCTTCTCCACTCATCCATTTGCTTTTATTTTTGGCAGACCTAGAGATAAGTATGGATTGATGTCTGTCAGATGCCACTGAATTCAGGAATTCCAATCATAATACACAAAGCAGCTCGTCATATTGGCAACTTTGAACAAATGAGTAGTGGTTTGCATGCCCTTCTGTACATGGTAAAACAGATTTATTTTTTTAAGTTTTACTGTCAGCAACATCATCTCTCCAGGAGCCTTGTTACCAAGACCAGATCTTTCTAGGAAGAATCTTGTTTGAGAATGAAAATGGGAGAAACAATCTCTTGCATTTTAAGTGAACTGCTTACATTTTTGTGTTGTTGTGTATCATCAAGTTGGAATTGGCCCATAGCCAACCCTCCAGCAGGTTTTCAGAGGCAGTAAATGGCACAGGGCAGTAAACTGCCCACCAGCTTCCACAAAACAACTGGTGGAATTGAACTATATGCCTTCGGTTTGCCAATGCCGTTTCCTTACCATTAAGCCACTAGAGTGTATTTCCATACTGGACGGGTGGGGTGGGTTTCTCCCTTTTACAATCTGCCTCAGTGTATTGAACTTCCCATTCAGAAAGTTGGAATCCTTGGAAAAGGTTTTCAAGTACCCTGTATGTAACCAGAAAGCTAACATTTGAATTCAAGAGCAGAGGGGCTAACATTCTCCTTGGAGTCATAGGTGACAGGTGGCAAGAAAGTCATAACGGCTTTTACTGCTGTTGGGCCAGTGGAGACAGTGAAGAACAGCAGTGGTGATCGCCTGCTGCCAGGCTGTTGGCCTCTGAAGGGAGGAGGCGATGGTGAGAGAACACCCATTTCCTCTTGTCCTCATTTCAGAGGAAGAAATCATCTGATCTATTAAGAATTAATTAAGACACAGCCCACATCCCAGTGCCTGGTCTCATATTGCAGAATTTACAGCCAAGAAGAAAATGTATTTTTGAAAGGGTGACGGCTGGCCTCTTCCCTCACTAATTGACACTCCATCTGTCAATGACATTTTCTCTTCCTGTCCACCCCATTCCACAGGAAGATACAGCTCATGTTTGATAATTGTTAAACTCTATTTGAGAAAAAAAAATTAAATGTTTCAAATTCTTTTTTACTACCTTTTTTGTTTCATTCAAACGCACTGTTTTAATTCTAACTTATCTATATCTTTGCTTAAGTCAGAATACATTACATCAAAGCAGTGGTTCATAGACTTTGCATGGGGAAAAATACCCAACAACTTGGAGTACTTGTTTAAAATGCTGATTTCAGACTCTACCAGTGAAGGTTTGGGTATTTCGTCTGAGAGGCCTGTGGTTATTGATAAGGCAGCCAGTCTCTCAGAGTACACTGTGATAAGAAAAGTGAGGCAAGAAGGTTGTCAAGCAAATTTAATGAAATAGTAATTTGTAGCCTATTAAAGTGCATATAGGTAAAATGTTGTTAGGTGCCGTCGAGTCATTTGCGACTCATAGCGACCCTGTGTACAACAGCCCTAAACCGTGCTCTATCCCATGCCAATCTCATTGCCTCTGACACACCCATCCCGATTGATTACCCCAGTCACTGAATCAGTCCACCTCATAGAGGGTCTTCCCCTCCTGTGCTGTCCCTCTACTCTACCCAGCATGATGTCCCTCTCTAAAGACCTGTCTCTCCTTACAACATGTCCAAAGTATGTCAGGTGAAGCCCCAGAATCCTTGCCTCCAAGGAGCAGCCTGGTTTAACCCTCTCTAAAATGAATCTGTTTGTTTTCTTGGCAGTCCATGGTACGTTCAATACTCTTGTCCAGCACCACAGCTCAAAGGTGTCAATTCTCCTTCTATCCTCCCTAGTCATTGCCCAACTCTCTGATGCATAACAAGTGATTGCAAAAACCATGGCCTGTATCAGGCCGACCTTAGTCTCCAGAGAGATACCGTTGCTCTTGAGTACTTTAGAGAGGTCCCGAACCACAGACTTGCCCATCGCAATACGTTTTTTGATTTCCTGGCTACTGGTGCCAAGAGTGTTGACCATGGAGCCGAGCAAACTGAAGCTGTGAACAATCTCAATCTCTTCGCCATCCATCCTGATGCTACCGATTGGTCCGGTAGTGAGAATTTTTGTCTTGACATTGAGCCTCAGTCCATACTGAAGGCTTCAGTCCTTGACCCTCTGCATTTAAGTGCATGAGGTCCTCCTCAGTTTCAGCGAGCAAAGTTGTGTCATCTGCATAACGCAGATTGTTGATAGATTGTCCACCAATCCTAATGCCACGCTTCTCCTCATAGAGCCCAGCCTCTCGGATAATCTGTTCTGCATACAGGTTGAAAAGGTATGGAGATAGGACACATCCCTGGCATACACCCTTCCCAATTTTGAACCATGCAGTGCTGCCCTGCTCTGTTCTGACGACTGCCTCTTGGTCCAAGTATAGGTTTCGCATTAGCACGATTAAATGTTCTGGGATTCCCATTCTTCTCAGAGTCAGCCACAGTTTGTTATGATTCACACAGTCAAATGCCTTTGCATAATCAATGAAACACAGATAGACATTCTTCTGGTATTCTCTGCTTTCAGCTAAGATCCATCTAACATCAGCTACAATATCCCTAGTACCATGACCCCTTCTAAACCCAGCCTGGACTTCTGGCAGTTCTCTGCTGATGTACTGTTCCAGTCGTTTTTGGATAATCTTAAGTAGAATCTTGCTTGCATGTGAAATCAATGATATTGTTCATTAGTTTCCACACTCAATTGTGTCACCCTTCTTTGGGATGGGAACAAATATAGACCTCTTCCAGTCAGTCCATGGAGAGGGACATCATGCTGGGTAGAGTAGAGGGACAGCGCAGGAGGGAAAGGCCCTCTACGAGGTGGATTGATTCAGTGACTGAGGTAATCGGGATGGGTGTGTCAGATAGCCATTGAAATACAAAATAACCACCCAAAGAAATTTTATAACCTTCCATGGGAGAAACGAAAGAGGACAATGAGGCATTTGCTGCAGAAGGTCAAGGATTGTAGTCTTCAGTATGGATTAAAGTTCAACATCAAGAAAACAAAGATACTCACTACTAGGCCAAGTAGCAGCTTCATGATGGATGGAGAAGAGATTGAGATAGTTGTTAACTTCAGCTTGCTTGGTTCCACAAACAACAGTCTTGACACCAGCAGTCAGGAAATCAAAAGACGAATTGCATTGGGAAAGTCTGCTGTCAGGGACTTCTTCAGAGTGCTGAAGAGCTATGACGTTAGTCTAGCGAACTAAGGTGCACCTGATTCAGGCCATGTTCTTCACAGTTACTTGCTAGGCATCCAAGAGCTGGACAGTAACTAGGGATGATAGGAAAACTATTGATGCCTTTGATTTATTTGCAGGCTGGAGAAAAGTGTTGAACATACCATGGACCGCCATGAAAACAAACTGGACTGTTCTGGAGAGAGTGAAACTGGGCTGCTCCCTGGAGGCAAGGATTTTAAGGCTCCATGTCAGATACTTTGGGCATGGGGCCAGTCCTTGGAAAGGGGCATTATGCTTGGAAGGGTGGAGGGACAGGAGAGGAGAGGAAGACCAAGGATGAGATGGATTGACTCACTGGTAGGAGAAATTAAGTCTGTCAGAGATGATGAGATTGGGTCAGGATAGGGCAGGTTTCAGAACTAATGTAAATAGGGTCACTATGAGTCAGGTGACTCAATGGTACAACATGGGAGCTATGTCATAGTACAAATAATAGGTTTTTCCATTAAGATGGGGAACGTGAGCACTTGGATTGTTGGCAGTCTTAAGTATTTTGCGGTTTGATTTGTTTCTGCAGGTTTTGGACTATCTGATTTAATAAAACTGTTATGACCAAAGTTAGTACTTAGTGATACTGTTTTGAATGGTACTCACTTAGGCACATGGTTTGAATCCACCAACTACTCTGAGGGAGAAAGATGGTCAGTTTCCTATCTTTCAGAGGCAAACTGGCTCTGAAAATGAGCTGGGGGGTCAGCTATGGGTTGGTTCCCACTGAACAGTATACAACAGCTAACTTAATAGGCATAAAGGGATGGGTTTTGTCTTTTTTTTTTTTTTAAGCTGTATTCAGTCCGTATTTCATGAATAACCAAGCCAGTTGCCATGAGCCAGCTCTGATTCTGTACAACCCATCGGTAGCATTTTCAGTGTTTTGGAAGCAGATCGCTAGATCTTCTGAGTGTATTAAAACTGCTAATCTTAAATTTTTTAAAAAAAACCCAAACCTGCCAACCGTTAGGTTAGTAGTCAAATGATGATCTTTTATAGTTGTAGTTTAATATTCAGTTTCAGAAATATATTCTCATAGAAGTTTCCAAATTTTAAACTAAAAGTTAAACTCACTGCCATTGAGTAATACTAAATGGCCATGACCCTATAGGCAAAGAAGAACTACCCCATAGGATTCCCAAGACTGAAATCTTTACAGAAGCAGACTGCCACATCTTTTTGTTACAGGGTGACTGATGGATTCAAATCCCTGTCCTTTTAGTTAGTAGCCAAGTGCTTATATGCACTGTACCACCAGGATTCTTCCAAATCTTAAGGGAAACGAAAACTCAAAAGAGTAACCTGTTAGGTAGCTGTTAGTCGA